CTTGTGATCTCTCTCTGTCAAATAAATAAATAAAATCTTAAAAAAATTTTTTTTTTTAAAAATTAGCATAAATTCTTGGAATGGCAAGTATTTTGGTATGGGGGGTGGCTAGGAAATAAGGTCGGTAAAGTGTAGGAAGACAGATGACACACAGAAGGCTGTGTTGTTCTCACGAAGGAGTTTGTACCTGATCCAGGAAGCAGTGGGAAGAGATGGAAAAGTTACGGAACAGGGAGTTACTACTCTTTTCAGATTTGCACTTAGAAAAGATTTCTGATAGAGGATCAGTTTGTGGAAACATGACTGAGTATCCTTGAGGGAAAGTAACAGTAATCAGAAATTATAAAGACAGGAACAAAGGGGAGGGGGTAACTGATGGCAGCAGGGTGACCAAAGAAGAAAAGGACAGAAATAGGAGCTATAGGGATTAGCTTAGAAAAACAAAAGGGATACTTTAATCTCTACCATTATAGTTGACTATAGGTATGTATGTCTGTGGGAGTGAAGGACTTCTCATTCAACAAATACATCGATTACCTTTTGTGCAGAGTCGGGGAGAATGGTAATCTAGGAGGAAAAAATGATGTAGGAAATAAAAGTAAATTTACAAGAATCTCTAAAAAGATTTAGAATTGAAGTATGTATAGTAATATTCCATTGAGATGAGATATTTTTCTGATAGTACTGAATAGCATAGAATATATAGCAGGGGAAAAAAGTAGACAGTTGTCTTGGTCCATGGTAAAGGTTAACAACATAATGGGGTATGTACTTTGGAAGAATATTGGTAATAGTAGTCGTTAAATCTGGTAGTGCTTTGTGGGTGCTGGCCTGACAGTAGAGGACACAGAGTCATAGTAGGTGGGGAAATTGGTAATCTGCTGAGAGAAGACGGGGTGTTGAAGAGCCTGGAGACAATTATTAAAACTATTGGTGTTGGGACACCGGGGGTGACTCAGTTAAGCATCTGCCTTTGGCTCAGGTCATGATCCCCAATTCCTTGCTCGACAGGGAGCCTGCTTCTCCCTCTACTTGCCACTCCCCCTGCTTATATGTTCTCTCCTCTGTCTCTCTGACAATTAAATAAAATCTTTTAATAATAAATAAATAAATAAATGTTGGTGTTTGCCAGACATACCAAGAAATTAGACAACATCCTGTATATTTTTTTTCATCACATAGTCTGTTTTGCTCTTTTGGAGAGAAGTTTTATGTGGAATAGCAGGAAATGATTTTTATTTACTAAATATGCCCTTAAGCTATTATTACGTTTCTATAAGAATATTCATGTTTCAAGAATGGGATTAGATTTCATTCTGCTTCTGTTTTTATTTGTCGTTGCTGTATTTATATTCACTGAATCTTCTAATGCATTTGTAAATTTTGTTCATTTATTAGAGACAAAAAGAAAGAAGACAAAGAAAAGAAACGTTCCAAAACACCACCAAAAAGTTACAGCACAGCCAGACGTTCCAGAAGTGCAAGCAGGTAAGAAGTGGCATTTTGAGTTCTTGGTACCTTTTGCAACCCTGTTTGCAAGAATGTCAGTAGGCCGTGAGCATTAAATGTTTTCCAATACATAGTACATACTTCATTGTTGAAATTTTTTAAAAGCAATTTGTGAAGAATAATTGAAAGTTCTTTTTACTTAATATGTTATGGTGTTACAATTGAAATGACATGGAATTCAACAGAGGTCAGGTTTTATGTTTGCCATATACATTTCACATCCTGATTAAGTTTTTATGGTTAATAATATTATACTGAATTACTATAGTAAATTCATTTCATTATTCTAAGTCATGTTTAAAATATCCACATATATAGTCATTATTGATAAAATGAGAGGCCATGTAAGTTCCAATTTGTATCATTCTTAGACTAGTAATTATGTCTTTAATCTGCTAGTGAAAATTCAGTGTTTCAACTTTACTCCACAGAAAATCTATTTTTCACTCTTAATATAGAATACATTTGCTAGTAGTAAGGCTGGCTACTTCCATTTTCTTCCAGTCTCATTTACACATGACTTGCTGCAGTATTCTTTAATCTTGATGTTCAAATTCACTAGGAGGTTCCCACTTCATATATATAAAGTAATTTAGTTGGGGTTCCTGGGTGGCTCAGTGGGTTAAAGTAATTTAGTGGATGAAAGACCTAAATATAAAATCTAAACTAAAACCTGCTAGAAGAAAACATAGAATTAAATCTTTATGGCCTTGAATTTGGCAGTGGTTTCCTAAATGACACCAAAAGTATAAGCAGAAAAATATAAGTAAATTGGAAACCGATCCTAAAAGCATGTGTTTCAAAGAACACTATCTAGAGGGTAAAGATAATCCAGAATGCTAGAAAATATTTGCAAATTATATATAAGCTAGTAAGGAACTTGTTATCTAGAACATTGAAAAATCATAGATAAGTATAAAAATGGGCAAAGATAGCTTCATCAGAGATAGGCACATGTCCACTAAGCTTTTGAAAAGATGTTTGGCATTAGTCATGAAGGAAATGCTGCAAATCAGAACCACTTCACACCCACTAGGATGGTAATATTTTTTTAAAAATACAATTAGTGGTTGGTGAGGATGTGGAGAAATTGGAACTCTGTACATTGCTGGTATGAACGAAAAATGGGACAGACACTTTGGAAAACTGTTTGGCAATTCTTTAAAAAGTTAGAATTTCTTGGGGCACCTGGGTGGCTCAGTACGTTAAGCCTCTGCCTTCAGCTCAGGTCATGATCCCAGAGTCCTGGGATCAAGCCCCGCATCAGGCTCTCTGCTCAGTGGGGAGCCTGCTTCCTCCCCTCTCTCTGCCTGCCTCTCTGCCTACTTGTGATCTCTCTCTCTCTCTCTGTCAAATAAATAAATAAATTTTTTTTTTAAAGTTAGAATTTCTTGACACAGCAGTTTTAGTCCCAGGGGTATACCTGGGAGAAGTGAAAACAGTGTCCGCACAAAAACTTCTGCATTGTTCATGTTAATCCAGAAGTCGACCCAAATGTCCATTAATTAACATGGGTAAACAAAATGGTATGTATTCATACAGTGGAATATTGTTCAGCAGTGAAAACAAAGTGTACTGATAGATGCTTTAATAGGGAAGAGCCTTGAAAACATAGGACAGATGAAAGTCACAAAGGACCACGTATTGTGTATGATTCCATTTATATGAAATGTCCAGAGTAGTTAAATCTATAAAGACGAAATAGATCAGCGGTTGGCATGAATACTTAAAGGGTTTTTTACCAGGGTGATAGTTTCTTAAAGGTAAATATGCAAACAAGAAATTAAACTAGGTGTGAGTGCTTAAGGAAATGCTAAACCAGGTCTACAGAATACATAGGTAGGAAAGGGGCATAAAAGGTGGGATGGCAACATACATGTTCTTACCTTGAAAACTGGAGGCTTTTTTTTTTTTTTTTTTTGCTGTTGTTTTACTTAAGGTACTTTTATAAGCACCTTATCCTACTTTAATAATCGGATTATTCTAAGTTAAGGTGTATTCTGTTAAGTTTTAATTATGTACTTGATATGTTTTCAGTTGTGCTACAGTCTATACAGGGACACAAATACAAAACATCTCTTTCATCTAGGGTATTTTGAGTTTTGGTTACACAGAGCAGTAGCAAAAAATAGGAGGTGTACAGACTTGACAGACTTAATATTTGATGAATGCAAGATTGTGTGTAATGTTTCTGCCAGGGGAGGTCACAGAGGGCTGGTAAGTTAAAGGAAAAGCTTTAAAAAACCAACCAAAAGTGTGGGGTTTCATTTTTTATTATTTCCTTGTGCCTAAATTGTAATAATGGCCATCTTGCAAGTTCTAAAATTTTTGAGAATAGTGACAGAAGCAGAATATTAAAAAAGAAAAAGGCCACAATTTTAAGGAAAGGGGAAATGCTATATGCATTTTAAAACTAATTGCTCAAAGCATGGTTGGGGGGAGCATCATTTTTTGAAGGGAGTCAGTTTGATCTTTGTTACTACTAACTCTACCTGAATTTTACCTAATAAAAGTAATTTTTTTGGATTTTATTAGCAATTGACTTTTATATCATGGCATATTATCTTATACCTGTTCTGGCCACTGTTAAAACTGAGATCTGAAATAGTTTGCTTCAGACTGTTTTTCCTTCCTGAATTAAAACTTTAATCTTTTTTTTTTTTTTTAAGATTTTATTTATTCATTTGGGGGAGGGAGTGCAAGAGCACAGGCAGGGGAAGCAGCAGAGGAAGAGGGAGAAGAGAACCTCCCTGGTAACCGAGCCTCATGCAAGGCTCGATGCCAGGAGCCTAGGATCATGACCTGAGCTGAAGGCAAACACTTAACTTACTGAGCCACCCAGGGATCCCAGAAGTTCTGTCTTTAAGAATTGCCACAAGTTAGGGGTTTCTTGAAGGCATGAAAGGAAAATCATATAGTTTGTGAAAGAATTACTCATTTGATTCTTCAGCTCAAAACAGTATTTGAAAATGGGTCTTTCAGGGGTGCCCGCTGGCTTAGTCAGAAGAGTAGGCGATTCTTGATCTCGGTGTTTTGTTCAGGCCCCACATTGGGTGTAGAGATTACTTAAAAATGAAGTCTCTAAAACAAAATAAAAAAGAAAATGGATTTTTAGTTATCAGATCCTGCTGTTGAAGTTCCTAGTGGATCTCCTTCAGTAGACACCATCTGCCATGATGTGTCTGCATTTTTTAGATAATACTGTATTTTAAAATCTAGTTTGCACATTTGTGGTTCTAGAGAGAGACGACGACGACGAAGTAGGAGTGGCACAAGATCTCCTAAAAAGCCTAGGTCACCTAAAAGAAAATTGTCTCGCTCACCGTCTCCTAGAAGGTAAGAATGTTGGTGCTATGGATCTGTACTTTCTACATTTCAGAAGCTGTCAGTTTTTATTTTAAAAACTCTCCTTGGCTTTTTCTTCCTTTTCAAAAATTAAAGTGCGTAAGAATATGCTGATACATTTCCTTTCTGCTTGAGACTGTGTTATTATAAAAAGTGTTTAGGATCAGGCATTTTAGACCTGTAACCAGTTACAGTCATCTTGCCTGTATCACTAGTGCACAGCTTGTATCTGGCGTTTTGAAACGGGTCTTTGTTGTTCTTCATATCATGTGAACTTGGGTCAGAGTCACCGTCTGAACAAGTTTAAACCTACTGCTACTCTTAAGGGTGAAACTTCTTGAGTGGTTCCTTTAAAGCATCTTTTTTGAGAATATTTTACTGTCATTCTAGACATAAAAAGGAGAAGAAAAAAGATAAAGACAAAGAAAGAAGCCGAGATGAAAGAGAACGATCAACAAGCAAGAAGAAAAAAAGTAAAGATAAGGAAAAGGATCGGGAAAGAAAATCAGAGAGTGATAAAGATGTAAAAGTATGTTTACAAACTAATTTACTTTGGTATTTGGGGTAGTGCTGGTAATTTTTAAGAAGCGATTTTTCTGGGAAGACGTTTACTTTTTTTATTCTCCTTGGCAAAGCAGGTTACACGGGACTACGATGAAGAGGAACAAGGGTATGACAGCGAGAAAGAGAAAAAAGAGGAGAAGAAGCCAGCAGAACCAAGTTCCCCTAAAACAAAAGAATGCTCTGTGGAAAAGGGAACTGGTGATTCACTAAGAGAATCCAAAGTGAATGGGGATGATCATCATGAAGAAGACATGGATATGAGTGACTGAATATTGCCTCTGTGGGAATCCAACTGTATACATGCATCAGTGTCATTCCTTTGTGTGATTTCTTAATGCTATATTTGTTCATCTCAAACCTAGATGTATACAGCTCTGAGTTATAAATGGTTATAAAGCTCCTGATACTGATATTAGTTATTTACATCCAAAAGCTTTTAGAAAATGATACATGAATAACCAATTCTTGACATGGTGAAATCTGATTGAGTAACCAAGCAGTTTTACTATTCTGGTGCTGCTTCATAACAAAAATCAAAAGCTGCATGCATCTACAGCAGGCATGGATTGTTTATGTTGTATGATCTCCTTTATTAAGTAAGTTCACTTATAGTATTTCTAGAATTTGATTCATTGCCGTAATAGAGCCATGTAGGGAATGCACTGATTGCATGTTCATTGTGGCAGGAATATCCTAAATGTCATTAAAATCCTCCAACATGATGGATCTACTTATGGTCTTGTTTGTTGACATGACAGATTAACATTCTTATAGTTACATCTGAAGATAATCCTTTAAGCCTTGTGGCTAAATTTTTGTGGCTTTTGTTTAACTTTGAAAGGTTATATATGCACTAACCTTTTTTGATGGCTGATTAGGCTTTAATTACAGAAACAAGATTTCAAATGAAACTGTCTTTGGCAGTGAGTAAATAGCATATTTTGAAGTAGAGTTGTATACTTTCTCATAAGGTGTTTGGGAATTTTTTTTCCTGAAATAATTTATTCCACATCTACATCAGTGAAAGCTGCCTATCCTGAGTCCATCTGTAAAAGAAAGTTTTCTCTTGTCCTGATTTTCAATTTTCCACTCTTTTATTAATTTGTTTTAATTTCAGTGTTGGAAAAAGGGGGTAGTGCATTTTAAATTGACCTTCATATGCTTTTAAAATAAGACAAATCTACTTGATTATGTACTTTTTATTTGATCTCAAGTTGTATAAAACCAATAAATTTGTGTTACTGTTACTGCAGTAGTAATCTTATGCACACAGTGATTCATGTTAAATGCAAAGTAGTTAGGCAACTGTTTTCTTAGTTACAGGAATTTCAAGCTTCACTTTTGTGCAGTATAAACAAAAGTAGGCTACAGTCTGTGCCATGTTGATGTACAGTTTCTGAAATTGTTTTACAAGACTTTGATAATAAAACCCTTAAACTTATGTTCATGTTCCTGTAAAACTGTATTTGTATTTATTTACGCTGTTGAATGTAAGACATTTACCTCATTCATTTTACAAATCAAGATCTCTCCCCTTTCAATCCACATATTTAAATATAGTAAGATGAATTCCATCACTGTACCAATGAGTTGCCATCAGAATTGTTAAATTTGGCTTTATTTCTATCGAAAGCAGTCTTAGTGTAATTTTATTTCTCATATTCTGGGTGTAGGAATGGGGTCGAGTAAAGCAGTGAACTTTAGGATAAATGATCCCACCTATATCTAGTAAATTTCTATTTTCAGTGAAATATAAATATTTGCCTTTTCTGGAATAGTATAGAAATTGTCAATGGTATGTATCTACTGTACAGTACTAAATAGTATATTTATTCATTTTATGAAATACTCTTGAGTAGTGTTTGAGTGGCTGGCATTATGGGAGGAAATGAGACTTGGAATTGTAGCTTTTATGCAAGTTTGAGTATAATTTTTTTTTAACTTTGAAATGCCATATAGAAAAGCAGCATTGTTTTTACAGTTTGTAGTAAGTAGCTTTTTAAAGATTTTATCAAAAGGAATTTTGTCTATAGTGAGTAAGAAGTTCTAGTAACAGCCCTCTGTTAATCATTGCACTTTTTTAAACACAAAATTGAACACAAATGACATTTGTTTAAACTTTCAAAAACTTTTTTAGTAGATAAAGTTTGAACCATATGACCCTGCCATTTTTGTAAGTGAAAAAACAAGTAATATTGGCAGTTTCACATGGTTAAACCTAATATTAAAGCCTATTCCCTCACTTAATCTCTGAATACAAATATATACTAACTTTAAAAAGCAAGAAATTTTTGGCTTTAAAATAATGTCACGGACTTAAGATGCTAACAGTGAAGGGAATCCACACTTAGGTTATTTTTCAGTGAACATTTTATGCACAAAGGTAGGGTTGTACTGGGACATAAGCCTTTAACACATAATCAGTTAAAATCAAGTGAATACTGCCTCCACGCTTGAGTTTTGTTCTGTATTTGGTAGTAAAAATGATAAAAAATAAACGTGGTTTTATTAGAAAAATGTTTGTCCTATTTATTTACTTAAATTCTTCAACAATAGGGCGCCTGGGTGGCTCAGTGGGTTAAGCCTCTGCCTTCGGCTCAGGTCATGATCTCAGGGTCCTGGGATCGAGTCCCGCATCAGGCTCTCTGCTCAGCAGGGAGCCTGCTTCTCCCTCTCTCTCTGCCTGCCTCTCTGCCTACTTGTGATCTCTCTCTGTCAAATAAATAAATAAATTCTTTAAAAAAAAAAATTCTTCAACAATAAATGAGAAGTAGGCTGTATGAGAGTCTGGTCATGAATTTTGGCTTCATTTATAGGTAGGATACCTGTTTCTTCATTTTCCAATCTAAAATGGGAGTAGCATCTACTTTACCATGTGTTTTGGTCGTTAGAAACTAACAATGTAGCCCCGTGCCTGGGTCAGTACATGCTACTTGGCATTTGATCATGGAGCTTTTCAAAAGTATACAATAATTTGGGGAAATGTTTTAGCAGAAGCTCTAAGATAAATTGTGCACAGATAGAGCTTTGAGAAGGTATGTTTTCCTTTTTGTGAAGGTGGATTTTGGATAAGCCTAGTGATTATATACTGTGTAGAGCATAGGAAAATGTTAGGTGCTTGGGGAAAAGAAAATCAAACTGGACTTCACTAGAACAGTAAATTTTCTTAATCTTGGTGTCGCTTCCTAGAGTTGAATAAGGTTCTGTTGGTATCAGCATGGACACACCAACTTCTCCAGCAAAACTACCAATTTCTCCAGTTGGGCACTATGTTGTATACCTAGGGGGCCATGCTGTTTGAAGATTGGTAAACATCTTTCAAACTGGAATTGAAATTGTAAATTGTGTCTCTAAGCTAATGAATTTCATCCATGTTCTATATAAATTCTCTGTAATCAAGTACATTTGCTTGTATTTATTTTAGCTAAATATGGATGTAGCAGAAATGCTACTGGTATTTTTAAAAGCATCCAGAATGTGTCTATTATTAAGGCTTTATTATCAGGAGCACCATTCTAAATGGGACCAATCTGGAGTTGCAGATTGAGTCTGTTTTATTTAGTTTTATTATTTTTGTTGCTATTTTCATTTTATAATGTCAAAGTCTATATACAATGCATTCAGACATTCTTCAGCAAAATAACTCAGGTGTAAACCATGCTAATTTACCAGTGGGAATTTTGTAAGAATATACAAAGTGTATAGTAGATGTAACTGGTAAAGAATTCACAGAGAAAGGATCTGACAGAACTAATTTGTTTATAATGATGTTCTTAGACAAATCAGGGAAGTGACATGTTCCCATTCTTTTCAAAAGTTATCACCGTGTAAGTTTTTTTTTTTTCTTCCCAGTGCACTGTCACTAAAATGTTTCATGTCTTTTTTTTTTTTTTTTTTTAAGAAAGCTAGTTAGCTGATGTATGATTTGTGCATAGAAATTAAAAGTCCAGGGTCACGTCTGGAATGTTCCAAATAAGGGTTAATATCATTTTTCCAGTTATCTCAAGATACAATTTTATTGATAAACCAAATGTAAAAACTGCCTTTTTTTTTTTTTTTAAGATTTTATTTATTTATTTGTCAGAGAGAGAGAGAGGGAGAGAGAGCAAGCACAGGCAGACAGAATGGCAGGCAGAGGCAGAGGGAGAAGCAGGCTCCCTGATGAGCAAGGAGCCCAATGTGGGACTCGATCCCAGGACGCTGGGATCATGACCTGAGCCAAAGGCAGCCGCTTAACCAACTGAGCCACCCAGGCGTCCCAAAAACTGCCTTTTTTTAATTACCAAATGTAAAAACTGCCTTTTTTCATTCACTGTGAAAAAGTTAAAATTTGCTTACTTAAATAAAAGTTTTGGAAGACAAGCACCATGTAGGTTAAAAATGTTTTTCTTATAAGTGTTCAAAGGAGCAGAATCATTAGAAACAACCTTTATTACAGAGGTTTGGCCTTAACTGTGAGGGCTGCTTAATTAGTCTCAAAGGTGTTTGCCATCTTTGTATCTGATGCTGGAGATTAAAGCCCACAGGCAGTCTACAAGAGAAGACGGATAGTTGGAGAAGTAAGAATAGATGGAACCAAAGCAAGAGCCAGAGCCCACAAGGATGGGCTGAAACTTGAGTCAGGTCTTATTTTCTTCTGACCTCAGTGGCAGAGTTGTCCTAAGGAAGCCAGGACCCTTCCTCGTGAAGGTAAACACCCGCTGGCACATTAGTCTGAGAAGCTGAGGGAGGATCTAGGGGAAGGTGAGGCAATTGTAGGCCCTGCTACCACTTCATCATCCCACAGGGGTCAGCAGAGAAGCCACATTGTATATAAACTACAAAATTTCTGCTTCCCTTCTGCCCTACAGAATTCCAGTGCTACCCACATTCATTATTTAAAACACCTCAGCCAGTTGTCGTTGGACAACATTAGTGACCGAGAACTCTCTGGGATGTACAGATAATATAAGTGGGGGGTTTATTATTTTTTTATATTACACAAAGTTTTAACTCCAGGCTAGTCATTTACACCAGCAAAACACAAATTCAGGAATGATTGTCAAGTGCCTTCCTTTAAAACACTTAGGAGATTTTGCTTCAGTATTTATAGGTCCTATGGCAAATGTGAAATTGTAATTCTGCATACCATAGGTGCCACTGTGGCTTAAAGTACTATTGTAAATTGAGCTATAAAAGTTTCAAAATTTCATCACTGGCTACTATAAGGATGGTCATATGATCTGAAAAATATATTAATACATGAGATGGTGGCCTAGGACACCTGTTGCCCCAGATTTCTGACAACAAAATGCTTTGCAAGGGTTATTTTTGCTAATTGACAGTATACAAATTATGGGCTTTTAGCAAGTTTAATTTTGTTGTCTTTACAAGTGATTTAACACTCTCTATGCAATTACCTCTGGGGTGAGTTTCACTGTCATCTTTGAAACTTCCCATAGTTTGAAATAGAGCAACTTTGGTAAGGATGCATTTTGTTAATTTTGCAAAACATGGTTAAGGTACTTTTTGCTAGAATTAACAGCAGAGGAATACTGTGCTCCATGCTAATCAGTAATTCTCACTCAATTTTAAAGACTAGAATACTAGTAGCAGGACTTCAAATTCACCTAGTTTTCTACTAGAAATTTTTCTGAACCATGTTATTTGCCAATTAAAAAGAAAGCAGCAGGAAGCATTCCTTAATTCAGTATATCCTGAAAATATTTACTTCCCTTTTGTAGACTCGAAACAGGATCTTCACCCTAGAATTACTGAGAACTGGGGAGAAGGCTCACTAAACAATCATTTACCATCATCCCCTCAGGTGTGAATAAACAATTTACATGATTATCACCAGGAAAACCCATTTTTATGTCAGTGGGGCTCAACACCAGTCCTAAGCAGGAGAAAGAAACGATAGCTGACACTTGAACAACAAGGGTTTGAACTGTGCAGCTCCACTGACATGCAGATTTTTCTGATACACTACATACAGTACTGTATATATGTATTTTCTTTTATGATTCTCTTAACATTTTTCTCTATTGTAAAAATATATAATATAATGCACAAAATGTGTTGAACAATTTTATCAGTAAGGCTTCCAGTTAACAGTAGGCTATTAGTAGTTAAGTCTTGGGGAAATCAAAAGTTACATGGATTCTTGACTGTGCATCGCACCCCTAGCCCCTATGTTGTTCAAGGGTCAACTATACATAGCTTTTCAGCTTCTGTTGGATGTCAGCTTCTCTGAAATGTGTTAATTTCCAGACCATCATATGTACCTGTACTCAAAGTCATCATAGCATCTGCTTTATGTGCCCCTTTTACGAAATCTGACAATTCACTGTGTATGAATACTACAGACAGAGGCAAATTGTCTCTAGGGAAAAATTTTCTCGAAGATAAGTACTAGTGGCAGGAATACTGAGCACTTCTGAAGGACCACTGAAGGTGACC